TATTATATTATATTATATTATATTATATTATATTATATTATATTATATTATATTATATTATATTATATTATATTATAAATTTATTATGGTTCATAGTCCTTTCAAGAAGCTCTTTAATCTATTGAGAAAAATACGCTATGTTCAAACCAAGAAGTCTGTCAGCCTCTTTGATGCTTGCTTGCTATCAGCTACCACTGTAATGGGGATGGGGGAAGATTGGCATTTGGGTGGGGAGGCAAGCTGAATGAAGATGGCCTGTGTGTGAACCAAAAGGGAGGGATGCATCCTCCTCTTCAAAACAAGTAAGTTGCTCTGCTTTTTCATGCCAGGCTTAGTGTGGTAAGTTCAGAGTGGATTCTGTAGAGAACAACTTAACTTTAGGTCTCATTCAGCATAGATTACACAATTTCCAAAACACAATTCAGACTGTTCAGCAGTTTGCCTAGCTGCTGCTTTATGGTTACATCATTACTTCTATTGCTGTCACAACCTTTATGGAATCCAATGGTCTTTTAAATTTGACAAGCAAAAACACAGTAAATATTTTTCACAAATATTTTCCCTCTACTTTGTAGTTTGATATTATGTGCTGTGTTACTATTCAGGCAGTTTACAAACTTGTGTTTTTTGTTGTTGGAAGGCAATTCTTTAATTTGAAAATTTTGGGTAATAAAATGGCAAGTAGAAAGGCTCACTTCTACTTGCCATTTAGAAAGAGTTAGAAAGAATGAGAAGGTTAACCTTTGTTTTGTTTGTTTGTTTTGTTTTGTTTCATGACTTGGTCTTCATAAAAAGTAGCTTTGGAATTGAAGCCATATGTGTTAAAACAAAATTATTTCTGTTTTAAGTACAAGTATGCAAAAAGTTTCAAGATTAATTCAAGATGTTTCATGGCTTTAAATATCTGGCTGTTGTACTAAGGTTTAAGTAGAAAGAGGGTCCAGCTGAAAATATACCATGAATAACGTAGAGATGCATGGTTGCTTGTTCTAGTTCTCTCTCTCTCTCTCTCTCTCTCTCTCTCTCTCTCTCTCTCCCTCCCTCCCTCCCTCCCTCCCTCCCTCCCTCTCTCTCTCTCTCTCTCTCATTCTCGCTTGCCCTCCCTCTTTCTCTTAAACGGAAGAAGAAAAAGAAAGAGGGATGGGAGAAAGAAAGAAAAGGAGGGAAGGGAGAAAGAGGGAAGGGAAAATGAATGAGATATGGATGGATGGATAGAGGGAGGGAGGGAGAGAAAAAGGAGAGGAAGGAAGGACCACAAATCCTGGCACTAGATGCAGCTTCAGACGATGCTTTGAAACAGCACAGCAATCCAGGGCTGGAAGGGACCTTGGAGGTCATCTAGTCCAACCCCCTGCTCCAAGAGCATTGTTAAAGTGAGTTTCTCTTTTGACCCACCCAGTCACATGACCACATAGCCACGCCCACCCAGTCACATGACCACCAAGCCATGACCACCAAACCATGCCCACAGAACCTGTTGTTAAAAAAATTGAATCCCACCCCTGGAGGGATGCTCTCATGATCTACTGCACAGCTGAATGGACTTGACCCAGTCAAGGTCAATGGCATTGGCATACTAGATGGGCGAAAAACGCCTGAAGATGTGCCCCACATGACACCATATGAATTGGGGATTGGTTATTCAACGTGGGTTCCTGGGGGGAGGGAATCGGGAAAACTTTCAATATGTAACTTTCGTGCCTTTTGCCTCAGATCTTGCTTTTCTTTGGTTGCTATCATTTCAAACCCAGCAAAAGTATCTATTCTCTAACAAACATGGAGTCAGGGGTTTTCTTTCCTGGGTTTTGAAGGGAGGCATGTCTGACAAAGTCCTTCATCCTAAAAATTAGTATGGGGTATTAATAGAGGCAATACATTCTAGAATTGTTTGTGGATAGTTTTTATATTATGTATATGTTACTTATTTCTGCTTTGTGAGATTAATAATTTGTTTCTCTTCTAATTTTCCACTTTACAGCAATGTGATCCAGAGAAGTTAATCACTGAGAGCAAGTTTCTGCAACTTGACTCCCTGCAGGAATTAATGAAGGTGAGGTTTGAGTTAGCCTTTCAGGCAGATAGGCAGGCTTAAATCAGTTGCAGCTGCAAATTTACTATGACTAAATTTACTTTAATGAGTAATGAGATTTCATTGCTAATTTTAGATGGATTTGTATTGCTTACATATCAAAATAATAAAATAATTGCTAGCTTCTTAGAGTTCTTTCTCACTAGAAATTCTTTGGTGCTACATTGGTGCTTATTGTATCTGTTCTCACTTTTATACCAATGTTAAATATGTGAATATTCTTTGGCTGCTTCAGGCTCTCATATCTGTGTCTCCTGATGAGGAAACTTATGATGAAGAAGACTGTGCTTTCTGTTTGGAGATGCTTTTGAGGATTGTGCTGGAAAATAGGTGAGCCATATAGATGCCATTTTACCCTTTGATATGGTAACAAATGTTGAGAACTTTCAATTTTACTTGATAACATTCTTCAAACTGGAAACTCGGGATGTCAGGTTAAAGAGTATCCCTAATAGCAATTAAATTTGATTATTTCATTCTTAATGCTATGGAGAAATCTATATTGTTACTAAAAGTCAATGATGACTTGTTGGCACATAATGAGGGAACTGTGATTGTGAGATTTTCATATCAAATTCTGCTTGATCTTCTCCAATCTGTCCCAATATGTGACCCACTTCTTAGTGTGAAGCTGACCAGAAAGTAATCTCTTTACATTAATTACTGGTACTTCTTTATTTACAACTGTAATTGAGTCCAGAATTATGTTTAAGTCGTGCCAGTTTTAAGCGGTTCACCCCATGACCACACTGGATTTTACAATATCTTTTGCAGCAGTCATTATTTGCAGTGGGTATATTTTGCCAGAAAGCTGAAATAGATGTTGGTTTCCAGCAAAAACTTGTAAATAGCTGTCATAAGACTGCAGGACGCTGCAAACAGCCCTAAGTGCATTGAGCATTCAAACTGCAGACCAGCTGTTGGAACTTTAAATCTGCTCATAAGTAGCCCTGGGGAGGTTTGTTGTAAATTCAAATGGCTGCCAAGCAACTTGTTGTAAGTTGAGGACTACCTGTATAAAATTAGCAACAATAGTCACCACATAAAATGAAAACATGGGTTAATTTCCACTTGAAAACAATCATAAGTGCAGATAGTTTAGCAAAATTATGCATTGATTGACTGAGAGTAAAGTCTTAGAATTTTAAAAATCCATTACACTGTTAATATATGACTAATTATGTGTTTGTTTATGTGTGTCTCTCACAGATACATACATTTATACATGTATTAATTATCTGATATCCTTTAAACACATGTGCACACACCCATATAAAAGGGGAAAAACCTGTAAAGTTAATATTTAATTGAAGGGACAAAACTGTTCCTACAAGCCAAGGATTTAAATGAAAGTTTCTCTACTGATATATCTGAATATTGATCATTTAATAAAAATACATCAAATATTTCAATCTTATCATCATGAATGGAATTTATCAAACTAAAGGCCAAGTGTATTAGTTCTAATCACCACAGTGTGCTTATTAATATTACAACATTGGAATCTTGTACTAACAAGCAACAGAAAAAGCTCTTCTTTATCAACCAACTGATAACATCTCTCAAGAAGAATTTCTAGCTAGGCATTGTATAGAAACAGCGGATACTATCTCTAATGATAAATTTGCATCAACCAGCTACTTATGCAGCCTGGAGGTCTGGAGGTCAATAGACCACAGCCCCATATGGGCTGTGGCCCACATGTTGGGGACCCCTGGATTAGTGGACCCTAATTTTAGCTAAATTATTTATTTGATTTGTATCTTGCTTTTATTTTGTACAACTCAGGACAGTGTATATAATGCTCCCTCCTATTTCTCTTGCAGCAGCAACCCTGTGAGATGAGTTGGGCTAAGAGTGGCTATCCCAAGCCACCCAGCCAGCTTCCATGCTTTAATGGAAGACTAGAACTTACAGCAGGGGTGTCAAACTCGATTTCAGTGAGGGCTGCATCAGGGTTGTGTTTGACCTTGGTAGGCCATGGGCATGGCCAAGGTGACCACTTGACATGACTTGTGTCAGGCACTTGGGGTGGCCTGAGCGCTCTGCCAGTGAAAATGGACTCCCAAACTCTGTTTTCAGCCGTGACAGCCTCCTGCAACCCTCTGCCAGCAAACACAGAGCTTGGGAGAGACACATGCAGCTCTCACAAGCTCCATTTTCGGCCGCGATGGCCTCCTGTAAGCCTTTGCCAGCAAAAACAAAATTGTAGGGGGAGGGGCTGCGTTTTTGCTGGCAGAGGGTTGCAGGGGAGGCTGTTGTGGCCAAAAATGGAGCTCATGGGGACTACACGCGGTCCCTCGAGCACCAGTTTTTGTTGGCAAAGGGCTGCAGGAGGCCATCACAGCCGAAAACAGAGTCTGGGAGGGCCACACATGATGCTCCTTAGCTCTGTTTTCGCTGACAGAGGCACTGTGGGCCAGTCCGTTGTTTCCAAGGCAGCCCCGTGGGCTAGATCTAAGCACCCCATGGGCCTGAGGGCCTTGAGTTTGACACCCTTGACTTACAGTCTCCCATTTAAGGCCAGCACCTTAACCAAATTGGCTCTGAGTAAATTATCACACATGCCAACTACCAACTGTTTGGAATAAAGCCTGTGTTTTGGTTTATCTTTTGCCCACAATACTCTTTTTCTTTCCCTGTCTCTATAGGGATCGTGTGACTTTTGTTTGGCAGGCAATGCGAGATCATCTTTACCATTTATGTATTAATGCTATGGAATACTGTTGTTTAGTGGAAAGAGCAGTAGTAGGTCTATTGAGACTGGCAATCCGACTTCTGCGCAGAGAAGAAATAAGTGCCCAGGTAAATACAGCTCTGTGTGATGTGTCAGTTTTCTGAAGGGACTAATTTCATTGTTTCTCTTCAACGTTAGTTCCTTTATTATCTTTATGGTCATGATTCACACTCTTGGGCTCTGTGCCTACACAGTAAATTACTGGGAATGTTCCAATACTAAAAGTATCATGGTTCATATGTTAAGGGTAGAATTCTTGCCTTTCCTTTTGGCTTTTTGTTTTGACCACCACAAGAAGTGTTTCCAGAATTTTTCCATGTTGTTTCAAGACATCTTTTGGACATATTCACATATTCTTCCCCCCCCCTCCCCCCACCATCCCTTCATCTCACTTTCTCTGTCGGTTTGAGATTTTCATTCAGATTTTACTCCTTCTATTATCCTTATCAACTAGAGAGATAAGACAACCAGACTCCTTTTTCATGTTCAGAAAATACTTATGGTTACATCTAACAAATAAGCAGAATGGCTCACTCCCTTGGGTTTGGTGTTATACAGCCTAATGCAAGGGGTGGGATTCAAATTTTTTAACAACCGGTTCTGTGGCCGTGGCCTAATTTGTGGGCATGATCTGGTGGTCATGTGACTGGGTGGGCATGGCCAACTCAGTCACTCATGTCAAGGGATGCCTCGCCTGGCCTCTCCCCTCCCCTCCCCTCCCAGCCATTCCTTGTCACCCCCAGCCTCAACGTATCTATGGTTCTGTAAAAATGTTGTTCACTTTTTTTTTACTTTATTATCTACGTACTATAGATGTTCTTTCATGGACCACTGAAAGGAGGAAATGGCTCACATGCTTTGCCCAAGAGGGTGATAGGCAACAGGCTTCTAAGGGGCTGCCACAAAAAAAAGGGGGGGCAATGTATTTTCCAAAGAAGAGAAGGCAAAACAAGAAGCAGTGGATGGAAACTGAACAATGAGAGAAGCAAGATAAAATTAAGGAGAAATTTCTGACAGTGAGAACAATTAACCAGTGGAACTGCTTGTCTCCAGAAGTTTTAGGTGCTCCAATACTGGAGGCTTTTAAGAAAAAAAACTGGACAGCTATTTCTATGAAATGGTATAGGGTTCCCCCCCAAAGTCCCTTCTAAGTGTTATTCTGTTGTGCTGACATCTTTCCCAGGTCCTCCACTCAGATAAAAAATGTGGCTATGATAATTGATCAAAGCTCCTTTGTTTTTTATGTGCAACAGCTTTAGCGTTTAGAATCAGAGCTAAGTTAGTTGCTTTTCTATTAATACATAATCCTTAAAAGAGCTCTCCTGTAGGGATCTTACATGGTCTAATTCAGAGGTCCCCAACTTTTCTGGCACCAGGGACTGGTTTCATGGAAGACAATTTTACCATGGAACTGTGTGTGTATGAGAGAGAGAGAGAGAGAGTGGGGTGGAGGGAGGAGAGGGGAAGACAAGTATACAGTTTGGGAAAGAGGCATAGACAGAAGTGGTAAATTAAATAGTGGGTGGGCCACACATGGAGTAAAATAAGGGTGGGTTTGTTACTTAAGGCCTGCCACCTGATGATTTTGCTCCAGTCCAGGGGAAAATCAGAATAACACATAGGGAAGACTTCACTAGAAAGGGCTTTCTTTCACTCCTGGAGAAAATCAGAACAAAGACCTGAAAAAGCCTTCACAGGAAGAGGCTTTTTTGTTCTTCTCTGGAAGAAAATTCGAAAACACGGAAAAATCTTCACTGGAAGAAGTTCTCTGCTTTTGCTCCAGAGGAAACCCCCAATTAAAGATCTGGGGAAGCAAAAAGAGGGAATGACCACCTGCACTTTTCAATGGTTCAGCACAGTGAACTTCAGTCCCTTCCAGATTAGACCTGTGACTCTCTGCTTTTAAGAAAGTGGAAAAGAAGGTGGGGAAGAAGGGACAATTCTAACTCACCCTTCCAGCAAAACAAACCGAAGATCCAGCACGTTGAGGAAGTACTGAGAAAACTATTCAGAAGAGAGAAGGAGGGGAGAGAGAGAGAGAGAGAGTATCTTGGAAAAGGTGCAAATGAGAATGGTTCCATCGGAGACACAGTGCTTAAGAGGGGAAAGGTACTTTGTCCCCTCCCCCATTCCAAGCCTTGTTGGAACAGGCTTACAAAGCTGCACGAGAAAGAAAAGAGCATGAGCCTTGTTTCCGTGCCAGGAGGGGGAGAGGAGGAAAGTGAGGAAAAAGAGAAGGAAGAGATAGCAGAAGGAAGAGACCTTAGGCACGCGCACACACACACACACACACACACACAAACTTCTGTGCTGCTAGGCTGCAAAGAAAGTGCAAACTAGCTCGTTTTTTTGCCATGCTTGGTTTTTTTTTTTCAGCCCGAAGCCTCTCACAATGTTTTCCTCTCCATTGTCACAGCGCTGGGCTGCAAGTAGGGGAGGGACCTTAGGTGCATGCACGTGCGCACACACATGCACGGGTTGGAGAGGTGAGCTGAGAGTCACGCAGATGTCCATCAGGCACAGAGGCAACAACAGGGGAAGGGGATCAAAATGGGAAGCCTCTGCCCACTTTAAAAAAAAAACAGCACAGCTTCCCTTTTTGTCCACCCTCCCCTCCGTTGCCTCCATGCCTAATGCCAAAGGACAGTTCTGCTTCCACCCCCTCCCCCCTGCAATGCAAGAAGCCGCATGCCACCACCGTTTGCTTTCTGCTCCCCCCCCCCAGCCATTGTGGCTTGTGATCTCCTATGGCTACTACTGCCCATGGCACACTGGCAGGCAGAAGCCCCCTGGGTGCCCCATGCCCTCTCCTTCCTACCTCTTTCTTCCTGCATGCACAGGTAGTGATGTTGCTTTCCCATGTGGGAGTGGGATGGTCCCAGGGCATGGAGGCACCAGCACCACTCATAGCCATCCATGCTGCCGCCTCGACCCTGCCCCCTGGGCAGGAGGGCAGGAGGCTCCAAGCATGAGAGGGCTGGGCTGGCAATGCATCCTGGGTGGAGGGCAACACTCAGCAAGCAGTCCCCAGGGATGCTAGGCCCTCCGCGCTCACCACTTGTGCACACGCCCGGGGGCAGGGCCAAGGCGGCACTGCAGATCTTAGGCTGGGCCTGGGCGAGGAACCAGAAAGCAGCCTGGGCTGTGGGCATAACTCTAGGCGAGTAACCAAGGCAAGATAAGGAGTGGCTGGGAGGGGCCAGGAGGGGTGAGGTGGGGCCAGCCAGTGGCATGATTTGCCAGTTTTCCAAACTGCACAGAATCATAAAAAGAGATTCGCCCAAACCAATCCGAACTGGTAGAATGCTAATGCACCTGTCTTAAAGTAGGAGCATGACAACAGAGCAACAAAATTGACATCAATGACCATGTTTCCTACTACAGTGATCCCCAACTTTTTTTACGCCGCGGCCCGGTACTGGCATCAGCTGGGCGCCGCGGCCCGGTACCAGCATCAGCTGGGCACCGCCATCTTTTTTTGATGAAAAAGTGCTTCCGGTGACCTCACCAGAAGCACTTTTTCATCAAAAAAAGATGGCGGCGCCAGCGCTTCCGGTGAGCTTTTCCGGGTAGAAATGGCTTTCTACCCAGAAAAGCTCACCGGAAGTGCTGGCGCCGCCATCTTTTTTTTGATGAAAACGTGCTTCCGGTGAGCTTTCTACCCGGAAAAGCTCAACAGAAGCGCAGGCGCCGCCATCTTTTTTTTGATGAAAACGTGCTTCCGGTGAGCTTTCTACCCGGAAAAGCTCACCGGAAGCACTTTTTCATCAAAAAAAGATGGCGGCGCCAGCAAGCCAGCGGCCCGGTAGGACTTGTTCCGCGGACCGGTACCGGTCCACGGACCGGTGGTTGGGGACCCCTGTCCTACTATACTAAAAATTATTAATGTGAATAAAACTATTTTTCATGCTTTTTAACCACATTATAACGTTCTGAAGGTACAGCAAATGACTATCCATTTGTTTTTAACACCATCTTTCAAATTCCTTCATATTGAGGCCTTTTCAGTCATGAGTATCATGAGGGTCTAGATCAGGGGCGTCCAACCTTGGCAACTTTAAGACTTGTGGACTTCAACACCCAGAATTCCTCAGCCAGCTTTGCTGGCTGAGGAGTTCTGGGAGTTGAAGTCCACAAGTCTTAAAGTTGCCAAGGTTGGACACCCCTGGTCTAGATTGTAGGACAATTGACTGTGGCCACATTACCACAGCCACTTCACCGTGATCCCTCCTGCCCCAGTTTACCCACCATTGCACTTAACCCCCCACCACACTGCCATGTCTACCCATCTCCCACTGCATCTCCATGGGTCCTATGCCCCAAGCATCCCTCCCCACTGGCTCTTCCCTGCCTCTTGTCCCCCTCCCCTCTTTTTTTGTGCCTTGCAGGGGGCAGTTTACTGTGCTAGAAATCTCCCCAGCCACTATCCCATACAGGATAATTAGATAATTCACCCAACTGTTAATCAACTTTAAAAGAGTAAGCAAAATAAAACAATAAAATCAAAAAGTGAAAGTTAAAATTCTGCCGTGTTCAGAAAACAAAACTGCTCAACAGAAATATGGTTACGCCCAATGACTATTCAATCGCTTCCAGAGGGAATTGGAATCTTGAAGACTCCCCTTGCCCATTGGTTCCATAATTGGTCCAAAAGACATCTTGGGTCACTCCTAAGTGCTCCCATTCAAAACCAGGGAGCAGCACTCCCAAGAACCAACTTTAACAATGAAATCAGGAGATCATCACTAAGAAAAAAAAGAAATTCTTACCATGCAACACCATCAGGATGGTATTCAGCCGGTTCTCACTGGTTCACGCGAACCGATAGCAAGGATTTGGCATGGGTCGCCAAACCGGTAGTAAGTTCTGGCTGGCCACGCCCCCAACCTGGTCGCAGCTCGCTCGCTTGCCCCGCCTGCCGATGCTCGCTCACCCTGCCCGCCCGCCAGTCACCCCGCCCAGTCATTCCTCCTATGCAGCACACTGTGTCCTCGTGGCTTGCCTTTAACCTTCCTTCCCACGAGGCACCTGCACCCCAACTGAGCAGCCCTGATCTGACTGCTCATAG